AAAAACATCCTCTAATAGCCTCCACACATTACACGACTAGGTGAGCTAGATATTCTCTTAATTGGCTCTAAGACTAAGTGAGCTAAACACTCTACTAATTGGCTCTAAACATTATACGACTGGGTGAGCTAGATTTTCTCTTAATGGCTCTATACTTTGACCGCATGGGCATACTCTGTTGGAATCTCATTAGATCTATTATTGTAACTAGAAAAAATACATCCTCTGATTGTCTCTACACTTTAGACTTCTCTTATATTCTCTTAATGGATCTATACCTTGACCTGTTGGGATACGCTAATGGAATCTTATTAGATCCAGTGTCCCTACTAGAAAAAGGGCTATCCGCTAATTGGCTCCACACTTTATACGACTAGGTGAGCTAGATAGTCTCCTAATGGCTCTATACTTTATACGACTAGGTGAGATAGATAGTCTCCTAATGGCTCTATACTTTATACGACTAGGTGAGATAGAAAGTCTCCTAATGGCTCTATACTTTATACGACTAGGTAAGCTAGATAGTCTCCTAATGGCTCTATACTTTATACGACTAGGTGAGATAGATATTCTCTTAATTGGCTCACGGCTAAGTGAGCTAGCTAGTCATCGTACCTGCTGAGGTGGTGCGTGGGTGGTTGTTGATCGCACGTACACGGATCCCCGCTGATCACGTCCATGTTGGGCTGCGATCGAGAGATGGGCTGGCCGGGCCTAGACGGTCGAATCAGCAGCGCCTCTCCGCGCGGTCCGTGCGTCTTCTGACCGGGCAGCGACGGCTAGAAACGAGAGCGACAGTCTACGTTTAGTTAAGCAATCGCATGGAAACATCATCGAACATGCTATCAATTTCGGTGTATGCTTAGTTCCTTCCTTTCCGTTTCTTCTCTAGTTATGTAGCTCTTCTTTTCTCTAGTTGTGCACCCCGGACTTTTATTTCTCTAGCTTTCATCTACATTCTACAATTCTACCCCCTCGTACACTCTCTCTTCCCTATAGCCTTGCAACCACTCTCTCTTCTAGCGTCGAAATTTTTTGGGACCACCTACTATAGCTTTGCAACCCACCTCGACTAACCTCGCAACTCCCCTCTCCTCTACTTTGCCCTCTAGATCCTCTAGATCCTCAAAGCTCCTCTAGATTTGGTAGCCCTCTCCTCCTCTCTCGCCTCGCTTTAGATTCTCTCTCTCCTCTTACCACGAACAGTAATTGTTCCTCTAACCTTGAACTCCCTCTCTCTGTAAGCTTATCACCCCTCTCTTCCCTCACCCTTGCAAACCTTCTCTGCTCTTCCAGTACTCCTCTCGCCTATACTTTACCTCGACTCGCCTCGACTATACAACCACCCTCTCTTAAACTGCTCCTATCGTTTCTACACTTACAAGCCCTCCCTCCTCTTGCACTGCTCTCCTCACTTCCACGTGCTTCTACGTTTTCAATCTCTCCCTTCTCTGTGCATTACCCCTTCTCGATTTTACTTTTTTCACACTGCCTTCCTCTAGCTTTGCAATCTCTCTCTATTCTTCTTCTCTCTCTCTCTCTCTCTCTCTCTCTCCCTCTCTCTCTCTCTCTCTCTCTCGCTCTCTCTCTAGCTATCTATCTCTTTCTCTCTCTCGCTCTCTCTCTCTCTCTCTCTCTCTCTCTCCCTCTCTCGCTCGCTCGATCTCCTGCTCTCCTCCCCTCTCTCTCTTTTTCTTGTTACCACTCTCTCTCGCTCTCGGCTCTCTTCTGCAACCTGCGTGTGTGTAAATGATGTAGTGTATTAGCCAGCCAGCCATACGACTCCCGCGCCACGCCGCCGACACAAGCCATCTAGAGCTTTAATAGCGTCACGACTCTGTGACACCAGACTCATCCGAAGTCGCCTGCCTCGCGAGAGGCGCCCCTCGGTGGTAGTTAGCCGACATCGTCGCGCAGACGCTCGCAGCAACGTGGGCGAGTGTGATTGATAGGCCGTGGCTCCCAGCCGCGCCGTGTGATGGCGCTTCATCGCCCGTGACGCGTCACGATTTTTTCGCCGGAAGTTCCCCTAGCGGACGTGTCGCGCGTCTTGACGTCGCGTTGTTGCTATGGTAACAGTCGTTCACCTGGCGCGTCGCCCGTGGTTTTAACTGCGCTCTTGTCGGCGGCCGTGTCGCCACCTGGGCGGTACAACAGTGGCGCTGTCCCTGCAATACAAACACTACTTCCCAGCAGCATTACCGGCGCTAGCAACAACAACCAGCAGCAGGCAGCGGCGGCGGCGGCCGGGCTGCGCAGTGGCTACATCCGCGGGATGTGTTTCCCATGGCAACAGGCATCATCTTTTGGTGTCTCCACGAGAGAGTGAGACTGTCCAGCCTCACATGTTTTTAGTAGCAGCAGCAGCGTCAGCGTCAGCGGCAGCGTCGTGTAGCACCGCGACGCTCACGTTGACGTAACCAGCGGGCGCGTCGACCGCTCGCGCGACAACGGCTCCATTCTGGCGGCGCTTTGATCGGCGACGGCTGTGTCGGCCGGCAGCGGTAGCGGGACGGACAGTGGCACGCTGGACAGTGATGGACGATCTCTCGTTTTAGTATGACACGCGGCCGATACTTCTCGACCGCGTGATGTTACCGAACTGGCTGCTCTACCTCGGCTGCCCTAGGCGATAACTGTATCGCCGCTGGAGTCCGTATCGACTGTTAGAGCCGATGCCTACTACTGTCGGCTAACACGTGGGCGCACCTGCTCTGGCCGCATTACGCTCGGGTTTCCTGTGCGCGTCGCGACGCGCTAACGCGTTACTTCCGCCGATGGCGAAATTCTTCTCGTCGTTGAAATCGGCATGCTGACAGCGCCTCCACACGGCCTCGCGAAGCCACCTAGCCGGCGAGCGGGAGCGCGCGTTTGCCTTGGCGACTAGCGGCGCAGGCGCACGCTGACGCTTCTCTCGACGACGCGCTTTGAGTCGCCGCGCAGAACGGCTCGTCGGCTCGTCGCGCGTGTGCCTCAGAGCGTCGACGGACAGCGCGCTTCGCCACATGCCCGCTCCCTGGCGACGTATCCGCCGTCCCTCGAAGCCTGCCTGCGGTACGCGTTCGTCGTCGTGCGTCGTCCCCGGTTCTATCGCGGCGTGACGTCGGGCGCGGCGACGCGCTGCTGTCGCGACGTGACGTCGGCGTGACTGCCGTACCAGGTGCCGTCCTTGCGAACGTAGTTTCTCGGTGCGTCGGCCTCGTGCGCCTTCCACGTGTGCCGCGCCGGTGGGACGCCCCCTTGCAGTCGGACGTGCACGTCGGACGAACAGATTCGTCAGTCGTAGGTTCGTTCGTCCGGCTGGCGGCGCGACGGTTGTCGTCCGTCTGGTGTCGCGTGACGTCCGCAAGAGGAGCTGAATATCGACTTCAAACGCGAGACTTTTGGTTCTGCTAGAGAGGCTGCTAGGTGGCCGCCGTGTTGTTGCTGTCTTCTGCTGCTGCTGTTGCTGCGGTTGTTGCTGCTTCTGCTGCTGCTGTTGCTGCGGTTGCTGTTGCTGCTGCTTCTGCTGCTGATGTTGTTGTTGTTGCAGCTGCTGTGTGTGATGTTGTTTCTGGTTTCCGACGGTATCATAGACGCATTCTGGACAGAACATCGTAACTGAACTGCTGCCACCACGACAATAGCACACGGTGTATATTACTAAATCACCAAGGTCTCTCTCTCTCTCCCTCTCTCTTTTTATCTTTGCCTGTCTGTCTGTCTGGCTGTCTGTCTTTCCCTCTGTCTGCCCCTCCTTTATCTCTATCGCTCTCTGTCTCTCTGTCACTCTATCTTTGTCTTTCCCTCTCTCTTTCTATCTATCTGTGTTTCTCTCTCTCTTTCTATGAAACTCGGGCTCTCTTTTTCTGTCGCACTGTCGTCAGGTAAAGGCTCCCAACCACTGCAGAAGCATGGGGCGAGTGGTTCTCACTGTGCACACAGGCGCGCACACACGTACGGTATCGTATCTCTACGAGTGAGAGTGCTTGTTAGGGCGAACACCCGTGTCAGGGAAATACGGCCGACCGCTCGCAGGAGAAGCTGATAAACTTTGAAGAGGACGCCCCGCGTGCGTGCGTGAGAACGCTATTGGCCGCTGGTGCGCGGGGGGAAGGGGCAAGGCAGATTGTTCCCCTAGTCCGTTGACTCGAATTAGCGCGAGAGGTGGTCGGGAGATGGGGGGGGGGTAGGTGAGGAGGGGGAGGTCAGCCCTTGCGAGTGTACGCACACGCTATCCCGCTGTCCTGTTTGGAGGCGGTAAGTATCGGAAGGTATGGCTAATTCAGCTTACTGGCAGCTTGCTGGGAGTTTTCTGGGGGAGTTTTGCCGTCAGGGTAGTCTCGGTATACCGGCGAAGGGAGATCAGCGGCTGATGAAAGCGGGTCTTTATGCTGAGAAAACACAGGTGACGATGAGGCGCAGGCTTGTTCTGGCAGGCGGCAGAGCGGGCGAGGATGGTCCCGCGAGCTGGGGAAGCGCTCAGCTAATCCACCCCCTCCTCCCTCCGTCGCTGCTCCCTCATCCCGCCACCGCTAAATTCATACTGGATACGGATGCCAGCAATACAGGCTTAGGAGCTGTGCTATCGCAGGTGCAGAATGGCGAAGAGAAGGTCGTAGCATACGCCAGTCGGACGCTGAACAAGGCGCAGGCGAGATACTGTACAACCAAGAAAGAATTGTTAGCAGTAGTGGTATTCGTCAAGCAATACCACCATTATCTGTGGGGGAGGCCATTCAAGATAAGAACGGATCATGCATCGTTGACTTGGTTAGTCAATTTCAGGAACCCGGAGGGGATGGTAGCGCGATGGATAGCGTTATTAGATACATACGACTTTGAGATCGAACATCGGAAAGGACAGCATCACCAGAATGCGGATGCATTATCACGTAAAACAGTAGGGAAATGCCCGAACGAGGACTGCCCAGACCACAGGCATGGAATGATGGGAGCGGATGCCCGACCAGCGATAGAGATGCAATCAGGGGAAGAGGAAACGCACGTTCAGGAGGAAGAAGACGAGGAGAGGAGTAGCGAGGAACCACCCAGCTGCAGTAGGGGAGAAGATCCTACAGGGAGATATGAACCACCCAGTCGTAATGGGAGGAGATACGGTTCTTCTGGTGAGGATAAGGAGCAGCGTGGGCATGTGCTAGCAGTGACCGAGGGAGAGCGAGAGGAGCGCAGAGAGAATCCCGAGGGTCAAGGGAAAGGCCATGATGTATGGAACCTGGAAAATATTAGGAGATTACAGGATAAGGACTCTGTAATTGTTTTCTTCAAGGAACGAAAAGAAGCGGCGTTGGGGAGACCTGAGTTTGTAGAGATTGCAGGAATGGGGTCGGAGGCGAAAGCGTACTGGGGGCAGTGGAGTCAGTTGGAGGTACAGGAAGGTAAATTATACAGACGATGGGAGACGCCGGTCACGCCGAGTCATCCCATACTTCAGCTGGTGATACCTAAGGAATTAAAAAGAGAAATATTTCAGCAACTACATTACCATCGTACAGCAGGACATCAAGGGGAGAAGCGGAGTAGATCCAGCATACAGCAACGGTTCTACTGGCCAAACTACAGGAAGGACATCGAGAGATGGTGCCAGTACTGCACTGTCGGTGCTCGGAGGCAACCTGGAAAAGGGTTGAAAAGGGGAAGGTTAAAACAGTCGGAATGCCTTGACGGTGAAGCCCTGGAGGCAATGATTGAACTCCCTCGGACACAGCGGGAGGACTACGACCGCTTGGTGGCAGCACTACAGCGCCGATTTGATCCAGCGGAGCGCATACATGTGCATCGTAGTGAGCTACGACACCGACACCGACGAACCGGAGAAACCCCTGAGGAGTATGGAGCTGTCATGCGGCAACTGTTCGGCAGAGCCTACCCAGGAATGGTAGGGCACCAATTCGAGGAAATTCTAATTGACAAGTACTTGGGAGGCCTGGGAGATGTCGAGACGCAGCGATATGCACTCCTACAGGAACCGGGAACTCTTGACGAAGCCATCACCCGGGTAGCTCAATATGAAGCCGTCACCAAGGAAACGGTGACTATCCGAAAACCCCCACCCAGGAGGATTAGTCACATCAGTGCAGTAAGACCACAAGGAGACAGCATTTCTGACCCCCTGACCCAGCTGCGGAAAGAAATGCAGGAGTTGACCCAGGAAGTCGCAAGGATGAGACGGGAGACTGGAGCCCGAAATCCGCCACCACTAAATGGCTACCGGCCAGACGTTCGGGAGACTGTCCGCTACCCGCCTTTTCAAACACCGGCGAGGGCGCAGAGCAGACCTGACTGGATGGCAAATATGGAGTGCTACTATTGCCGACAGAGAGGGCACATACAGAGAGTCTGTCCCCGGAGACCCCCACAGATGGACAGGAACACCTCACCACCAACAAGACCAGTCATCAAGGATGTGGTACAGCCCAAGGTTAAACCAGAAAGGACGAGACCTATGGTCGGTGACCTGGTCCCCGAGGCCTCGATTAACAGAACCAGACCACGGCCTATGCATTCCACGTTCCCTACCCATCAGGAGCCAGGGCAAGAAGGTGCAGCCAAAAGTACAGGACCTACAGAAAAGGATAAGGGAGAGCTTCAGCGAACAGAAACGGAGCCTGAAGCATTAAGTGAGAAACAAACCAGCGAGGAAAAGAAGCCATCCATAACTGTTGCACCCCTGCAGGATCAGCCCACCTGGTTGGTACCTGTGCAGGTAGAAGGATACCACATGGACTTCCTTGTGGATAGTGGATCCAGTACCACCCTTCTCAACCAAACCAGATTCGACAAGCTAGATAACCAGGAGAGGCCCGTACTCCGACCAGAAAGATGTGACCTAAGAATGGCTAATGGGGAGCGACTGCGCAACATGGGAGAGGCCGACCTTCAACTGGAAATCGGAGGAAACAGACACAAGAGGACTATGGTAATCGCTTCACTCGGAGGCTTGGACGGAATACTCGGACTCGATTTCCTAATACCTCACCGAGCTTCCTTCAACATGGGTACGGGAGCACTGATGATAGACGACCACACCATACAATGTGTGGCTGAAGGAAGTTCCTTTCCCTGGGAGAAAGTACCAAAGAATTGGAGAACACCGAAGGCGGCGAAGCATCCGTTCGCGCAGCGTAACAAAGAAACCCAAGGAACCGAGCGGGACACCAACACTGCCGGCCAGCAGGGAGGAATGGACAACATACCCGAACCACCTGACCCTCCATGGCCATGGGGCAGTGGGGAACCCTCTGATAGTGAGAAACCCGAGGATCACGGGGCCGACGGCCCGACCACCAAAAAGGGAGACGAAGGAAACCCTAGGAAGGGGGCCCTTCTGCCGAAGGAGGCACCCAATCTAAGAAGGGGGCGGCCCATCAGGAAGCCACCCAAGTGTATAGATCCGTAGACGGAAGACAAGCAGCCAGAATAAACCGCATCCGAGGGCGGATGCTAGAGGAAGAAAGGGGGAGTGTAGAGATTTCGGTTACACCGAACACTCTATTTCAAACCACAACAACACGACAGGGCGCGGCCATTTTGGAATGACTAAAAACCTGGATCGGAAGACCAGGTGACACCAAAATTCCCTTATGAGGCAGATATGCCACAATTAAATAAAGGAAAGGGTCAAGCTCTAATTAAAATACAGCGTTAAAAGGATAACAAGTAGATAAATAAAACAATATTAGAACGAACATACAACGGGAAATTATTACGGCCAGCCAGCTGAC